TGGTTTGCATCTATATAAAATGTAAGGAATCCAGATATTGGTGTTTCCTGTACAATTTGAGGCAGGATCCAATCAGCTCTCTTTATAATTTCAATTCTATTGCTTTTGGGCTGTTTTCTGTTAATCTCTCCCAAAAACTTACTGTAAGGTCTTTGCCAAGGTTCACTTACTGTCCATAATTTGTCAATTTCATCATTAGTTAAAGGTGTGACAATTTCTGCTGGGTCTATTCCTGCTAATTGACGAAGTCTCAGTTTTCCTTTTAAAATCTACTCAGATCTTTTCCACATAAGTTTTTAATTTTTTACTCTGTTTATTTGGTAGGAATATCCATCCCAATATAATATCTTCCCTCTGCATTAAAATTCTTGTAGAAGAATGCTTAGAGGGTAAAATAACCAAAATTCAATCAAGCTTTGGATCCACACAATCCACATGTACATTCTCTCTCAGATTCAGGTGATAATTTTCTTGGACTATTAAAGTCCTTGTCACCCTCTAAGGTTTTGAACAAATTACTGAGTTCATCATTTTTGCACCAATAGTGGTTCATAGATTGGAAATGTTTCCTAATAATCTTTGAAAGTTGTTAAGTGTCCATAATCCAGCTCTCCTTATTTGTACCCTTTGGGGTCTGATTTTTTGTAGACCTATTTTATATCCCAAATAATTAATAGAATCTCCTCTTTGTATCTTTTCAGGAGCAATTAGTAATCCTCAGCAAGGCAAATTTTTATTTACTTCTTCAAATATTGTTTCTAAAATATCTACATTTGAATTAGCTAGTAAAATGTCATCCATGTTGGTAAACTGTAGACTGAGGAAATTGTTTACGTATTACTTCCAATGGAAGGGTGTGTGACACCACTGCCTGACCTCTATCAAGTGGCTAGCGCTGTCCTTTGATCCTCTGGCAAGTTTATTAGGGTACACAATGTATCTCCACATTTCCCTCTTTTTATCTGCAATAATAAATACTTACTTTTATTTTGTGTGTCTGGGTGCTTTGTCTCATGCATGTAAGTATACCATGTACCTGCAGTGCTGACCAAATGGTGTTGGACCCCTAGGACTGGAGTTGCAGAGGGTTGTGAGCTGCTGTGTAGGTGCTGGGAACTGAACTCAGGTCCTCTGCAAGAGTAGTAAGTGCTCTTAACCTACAGCTAAGAAGGCAGTAGAACTGTGAGTTGAGACTGAAAGGCGGAGTTAATTGAGAGACAGCATTCAAGGGCATCCGAGAGGGGAGTCGGTGCTGCATGAGCTCTGAAGAAACTATTCTACTTATTCTAGTAGAAGATACTAGGACTGAAATAGGGAATGGCAATCTGGTGAGACGGATGTGACAAGTGAAAGAGAGGCTATGACTTAAGTATGCACAAGGTCAGTAACAATATATGTCTAAAACAATGGAGCCATTCATAAAAATTAGGAGATCAGGGTTAAAGGTTGATTTTGACATAAAATAATATAGTTCTCCCTTTCAGCAAATCCTTACCATTTATATTTGAGTTATTCTGATATTTAAACAGTATATTTGCTAAGAGTTCTCTTTAATTACAAAGACATGGTGATTAAAAAAAAACTTTGTTTTAGAATCTTATAGTGTATGTGTGTAGTATGTGGGCATGCCATATGGTGTTCAGAGGACAGCTTGGTGGCAGTCTCTTCTCTCTTGCCACCTGGTTGGATCTGGGGATCCTTAGGCCTGAGTGTAAACTAAAAACTATGCCTGTCTTAATGAAGAATGCAATCATCAAGTTGGTAAAAGTACAATATACTGCAGACTTTGCTTGTTACAGAAACGAAGTGTGAACTTAGGAGAGCTGTGGCTTAAACAGCTGTTCCTTCGTTCTGTAGTCGATAGTCAACTATAATTCACTTCTCCTGCTTAAAGTAAGTGAGCTTGATTTAGGGGGAAGGGGGGGAAGAAAAGCTGCTTTAGAATTGTTCAGATGGCTTTAACAGAGATGATTTAGTCATGATATCTTTCCCTCCCCATGTTCCACCAGACAGCAGAAAAGGTCTGAAAATTACAGGCTCGACCTGAAAATTTTCACTGTCACATGACCTGTACCAGAAACAGTTTTTTTTTTAATTGTACATGTTATTTTCACAATGAATAGTCTCCCTTTGTACTAAATTTTGAAGTAATATCATTATGCATCCTATGTAATTATTTGGGCTACTTATAACTAGTTTCCTCTTTTTATGTGGAATATATATTCTAAGATGCCCATTGGGTGCTGGAGGAGGATGCAGGGGGAACACTGGACCAAACCCTCTATACACTGTGTTTCCTTATTGAAGTCTTTTACGAATGTCCCTTTCTTCTTCACTAAGCACTGTGCTTTGTGGCCCTAACTTCTACAGTTTGAGAAGGAACTCCTTTCAGCAGTGCCGTGGATAGATAGATCTGTTTCGTTGTCAATCTCTGCAACCTCAGCTTGTGGATATTTTTATTCCCTTATTAAGTCATTACCTGTCACCTTTTAACTTAAAGCACTCTAGAGCATCCTTCCAGCATAACTGCATCATCAACATCACTGTTTTCTGTAGGGGCCGTTTCAGTTAGGGAGGGTTGCTGGAGCAGAAGTGGCGCAGCGCCTCAGGTGGATCTGATGGACGTCATGGCTGCTCACTAATGATCAGCAGGAAGTAGGAACACAGGATACTGAAGAGATGATTCATCCTCTGCAATGGGGTGGGATGCCAGAAATTTCATTGCACTACTCAAATTGATTTACATCTTAAGCTTATCACTTATTTCTGAATGTTTTCATTTAGTATTTTCTAACTGCTGTTACCTTTTGTAATGGAAACTGTGGGAAGCAAACTGGGGGCCTACTGTATCTAGCAGTCAATTTACTGTTACTGTAATGAAGACAAATTTTATACATAAAAGAGGCTTATGTAGCTCGTAGTTCAGGATGCTCAAAGTCAAGTGCTCAGGTGCTGAGGGCACTGTTTCTGCCTGCAGAAAAGGTGGATAGACAGCATCATGGTGGGAATACAGAGAGACTGCAGTTCACACTCTCTTTAGAAAGCCTGAGTCCAGTTGACCTGGGGTCCTCCTAGTAGGCCCAGTCCCCAGCAACTGCACACTGTTTTCCAACGCGGGAGCTGTGAATTCTTGGGGGCAGGGTGCAAAACAGGTCTAAACACTAGCAGATAGATGGTTTAGGGTTGTGAACTTCAAGTCGTGATTTTCTGGCCTCTGATAAACTAAATCAGGACATTGCTGGATTAAGCAACATTAAGATTTTTATCCTGGAGATAGTTGGGAAGGGGAGGATGATTCTGATACTAATATGATAAGGTGGCTGTTCCAAGGAGAAACAACATTTTACACATTCACAGGAGCACAAACCCTTCATTCACAATCTGTTTTTCAGGTCTGCTGTTACTAAGAACAAAGTGCCTGAGTTTATACATCATCAGAAAAGACAGTAACTGCTTCTTCTTTTGCCATACAATGCAGAAAAGTGTTTACAAATGGCAGAGTCTTCCATGTTAGATCAGAAAAGTCCTTACACACTTCAGGGTCTTCCACAGTAGATCAGAAAAATCCTTGCAAACTGTGAGGTCTTCCAAGTTGGATTTGCAAAATACACAAAAAGGAATCCAGACAGGTAAATAAAAAACTAGTGGTTTAATTATCTTAGTACATTTTGAATCAGCATATTCACCTTGACAGAAAAAGTAATATTAAAAGAGTGAAGGAATGTTTGAAATCCAGGTTATGATTTTGTCACTGAGAAAAAATTTTAAAATAATAACTGTAAGCTATAAAAGTCAATTGTTCAGTAGAAAATACTCCTGGAACACAATAAAGTATCCTAGAAAACTTTCTGCTTTACAACAGAGTAGAGAAAGTGACTATGATTTAGTGTTTTGCTCTGTACTCCATAGCTGCAAAAATAAATATGAGTCTTTAAAAATTGTATTTCCAACCCAATACCAAATGGTTGTCCCTGAAAATATTCATATGAGCAACATTATACAGACTGGGCAGGTTGTATTAGTGATTTGTGTATAAATATGTATCACTAAATATAACATTATTGAATGTAATAGCAATGAATGAAGAAAGAGGCCATGAATTTGAAGGATGGCAAAGAGGGCTGGGAGGGAGAAAAGGGAAGGGGGAAATGATATAAAAATAGTATAATCTCAAAAATAAAAGAAAAACTGTTGATGACATTATGGTAGGCACATGTTCTTTATTCTTTTTTAGGCACAACAATATCACATTTGTCTTCCTACATCAATACATGTAGCGCTAAGTACCTTTATTTTTTTAAAGGAAAAAAGATGTTATTTAACATACTACAAAGAGAGCAGTGGGTAAGGCAGTAACAGAAAAACCACCTGCCCAGAGCTAAATAAAAATCTTAATAAAGATAATCTTGATAATATTATATTATATAGTTCTAGTAGAATTTGTTTAATCAATGGGATTAAAATGTTCTTAAAGCTGATATAATTTATTTTACCAGACACTGCTATAGTTGCTTAAAAAAATAAATACTGTTTATATATAGTAAGATCTTCGTTTTAAAAGTGTTATTGCATTTATTTATTTAGTGTGTGTGTGTGTGTGTGTGTGTGTGTGTGTGTGTGTGTGTGTGTGATTATGATGCTCATGTGGAGGTCAGAGGACAGCTTGGAGTCAGCTCTCTCCTTTTCCACATGGTCCTGGGGCTTGATCTCAGGTCAGGATGGTGGTATTGCTTTGGCTTTATACTAGAACCTTTGTGGTAGAATAGATGGGACAAGAATGTGTACATTTACATTTCTGTATCACTAAATTGCTTTTTATATAATGGTATAGGCTTTTAACTGCCAGCATTGTAAGGTTTATCAAACTTCAATAAAATAAAACAAAACCTATATGTTTGTAATGGATAACAGAATTTCTTGCTTTGATAATCTTAAAATTATTCAGATAATTTATAAAGCAGTGATAATCGTGATATCTCTCTTTCCCCTACTCTTTACAGAGCAAACTATTCATGGAAGGATTTAGAAGCTTAAAAGAAGGAGAGCCAGTGGAATTTACATTTAAAAAATCCCCCAAAGGCCTTGAGTCAATACGGGTAACAGGACCAGGTGGGAGCCCCTGCTTAGGAAGCGAAAGAAGACCCAAAGGGAAGGCCCTGCAGAAGAGAAAACCAAAAGGAGACAGGTAACTGTGTGGCTGACTTGTGAGTGTGTTGTATTTGGGAAATATTTGTAAAAGTTTCTTACCGTTTTGTTTATGGATTTTATGGAGTCTAGCCGAAAGAAAATGGCATCACTGTAGCTGAAGAGACCGGGTCAAGACAGTCTTGTCCTGTAGTTTGGACTCTCTTCAGAGTGCTGAGGCCCAGTTAGCATGAAGTGTGGGATAGTGCTATGATTACCATTCCCCAGCCTGTTGGAAGACCAGAGGAGGAGCTCAGATTCTCTGAGAAGAAATGCCTCTCTCTGTGTACAGTTTTCTGATTCACCACATGCTTTTTCCAATGAGAGTATGCTTACTCCTTTGTCTGTTTTTAAAATGACAACTCACACTTTGAAAATTCAAACATTAAAAAACTGGGAAAGTCACTTGAAATCCCAAATGCAGGCAGAAGTCATAAACTATATACTGTTGGGTTTTTTTTGTTGTTGTTGTTTTTAAACCACATTAATGGTTTAAATTTGTCATTAATTAATAGCTACATACATTCTCACTATATGAATCTGCCAAAATTTACAAGTAATGCTGTTAGGGCTATTGAGTCTGTTTTCTGTGCTTTGAAATCAGCACCATTGTATCAATTCTTATGTGTACATTTTTGAAATATTGTCTGATTATATCCTTAGAATAAATATTTACTATTGAAAATCTGACCAAAGATTATGTTCTGAAAGTTTTTGGAACCTGGTTCTAAACTGCTGTCCAGAATAACTAGAACAGAAAATACAACAAAAGTGAGATAGTTTTCTGAATATTATTTAGTCTTTTCTGATTACACAGCTACAGACCTCAGTGGGTTTTGTCTTTTGTAACATTTGACTGCAACAGTATGAACTTTGATTATAAAAGAAAAATGGAACATCATTAGAATGAGTTTAAAAAGCAACATAATCTCATAATCTAATTTTCCTCTTTATGCCAGTTGGCTTTCTGTTGCTATGACAAAATACTCGAGAAAATTAACTTTAAAAAGGAGAAATTATTTTGCTCACTTCATGGCTGTTGGAGAGGAGAGAGAGTTGGCAGAGCCCTCAAAGGTCCATCCTCAGTAATCTGTTTTTGCCAACTAAGACCCGTCTTCTCAAGTCCAGTTTCCTGTTAAGCCATGAACCCATTGATGTCATTAAAGTGAACCACTTCCCAAAGGCCCTACTTCTGAACACCGCTGCCCAGGGGCCACGCCTTTAGCATCAGCTCTTCAGAGCATTTAGATCTAATTTGTAACATTCCTTAAAGAACCTTCTGGCAGCTGTTACTTTAGTTAATTTGAAGAAGCAAGGGTAGAAGCTGAGAAATCAATAAGGGATGCTTTTCCTGTGTACCAGAAAGAGATGGTGGTGGTGTGGATTGGGGTGGTAGACATAGAAGTGGTGAGCGAAATTCCTATATGTTTTGAAGGTGGAGACGACAGGATTTACTGATGGATCAGATGTGGACTGTGAGAGAAGAAGAGTCCAGGATGATTCCAAGGTTTGTTTGGCCTGGGCAACAAAAAAGATGGAGGGACCAGTTGCCAAGCTGTGAAAAATTGCAGAAGGAGCAACACATGGACAGCTTGGCTTGGGGCATGATGAATATGCAGGAGGGTTATGGATTAAGTGGAAAGGTACATGAGTTCTAGGGCTGAAAGTAAGAGTTCAGCAGTACCAAGTGGAATGATATTTATACCCAAAGTAGACAGAGGAACGAGCCCTGGGTCATGCTAGCACGGAGAAGGAGGAGTGACAGAGAGTGGGAGGCCATCTAGAAGGGTTTTGACTGTTGAGAGATGCTGATGATAATGATCATGATGACCACCAGCTGCTTAGCAACACAGAAGTGACAGCTGGACATGACAAGAACAGCTCTGTAGACTGGTGGGAATGAAAGCTTGTGTGTCTTGTTCAGCAGAAAAGGACAGGACAGGAAGCAGAAGCAGCAAATGCAGTATGGGGGCATTTTCTAAAGGTTACAAAATAACAGAATGGGTACTTATTGACGGAGGTGGTTTAATAGAGAAGGAGGAGTCAGCCTGCAGAAGAGAGGAGGCCATGGCTGCAGTGAAATTGAAAGCACAGCTCTGAGGTCTGACTATAATTGTGGGTGGTTTACTCTTAGCCTACATGAAGATGGAGTTAGATGATGAACAGTATCTAAAAAATGATAGGGGCCTGTCAGACAGGTGTAGAAGCTGGCTGGGAGGTGTTGCTAGGATGGAAATTTGAGTGCTGAAGTCAATAACAGCTCTATAGATTATAAATCCTGGAGAGGAAACCAATGGCTCTGACATAGAAATAAATGACAATTTTAAAGTGTGATGAGAAGTGGATTACTTACAGTCTTAAGGCATCTCCTCCAACAAAATGCTTACTAATTACAAAAGTAAATACATAGAGAAGTCTGTCCCATAACATCTTGGTTACATGGTCAAAGATAAAAATTATCAGTAATGGGAATACTTAAAGCCTGTGGCATCCGATGACAGAATACTGCACAACATGACTGCCATGACAGCTTTGCTGAAAATGAATAACCTCAGTCTAACTCTAACGGACTAGCACACAAATACAGACTACAATCTAGATTCACCCCAGTGTTCCAAAACTCACACCTCTCGTTCTTCTAGTGCCTTTGGGTGTAAAGGTAGACAGAAGAATGTGGTTAGATTGAAGTGTCAAAAGACTTCGCGCAGGACCCCAAGCATACAAGCAGTGCAAGCGGGAGGAAAGCACACGAGATTTGCACTGGTGTGAGCCACTTTTGAACCTAGAGTTTGCAAAACTGAAAATAGGGCTGGGGCTATGGGTTCATGGGGAAGCCCTTGCCTCGTTATGTGCAAGGCCTTGGTCTTGATGCTGGGTAGTTAAAAAGTGACAGTAGTAGTTGATTTGGTTTACTGAAGCTTGAAAAAGGCAGACTCCCAGTTAATTCTTCTTAAGAGAACAATTAACACTGGTACATTTCTGTTTGTTTTGCTTGTTTGGAATATTGATTTTATTTTATTTATCAAACTGTCATAACAATTTATATTTTTATGCGCAGTTCTGTGAATGCTCACACGCATACATTGCTCCTCTCACCATTATGATTTACTCAGAACAACTGGTTACGCTCGACAAACAGCTGCTCACCGCCTTACACAGCTACCCGCTCCTGTCTGTATAACCTTGACGACCAGTAATGTGTGCTTTCATATTCTGACAGGTTTTGTCTTTGTGGGTGGCATATGAACAGATTTGTTTCATAACCTTTTGAAATTTTCTATTTCTCTTCCATCATCATGCTTTTGAAATTTATCTGCAATGTTGAATGTGTCAGTAGTTCGTTCTTTTATATTGTTGGGTAATATTCCATTATTAGGCTATAACAGTGTCTATCTAATTCATCTGTTGAGGGATTTGGGTATTTTCCAGTTGTGGCAGTTATGAACAGAATCTACACAGACCGAGTGTGAGTTTGTATGCACGTCAGTCTGGGGTTTGGAGTGGAACGCCTGTAATGTACTGTGGCTGTGGTCCGTGCTCACCTTGGGTATGCAGAGGAGTCGCATTCTTCTGTAATTCTGTCAGCAGTGTGCACACCACCCGCTATGCGTGTTTGCCAGTAATTGATGTTTTCAACTGAACATAAGCTTAGCTACCTTGTATATGTGGTGGCTATGGTTGTAATTAGGGTGTATTGTTGTGGTTATGGCTGCTGATGCCGAGCATTGATCAAGGCATTTTGATGCTGCTGACTTTATCCTCTGGCGAACTGGTTGTCTTTGCCTTTAAAAAAAAAAAAAAAACAAACTGAGATGTTTATTTTCTTCTTGTTACTCTGAGAGCTTTTAATATACATTATGATACAGGACATTTGCCAGATAAAGTTTTTCTAAATATTTTCTTTCATTCTATAGTCTGTTTTCCTCTCTTGTAGTGTAAAAGTTTTTTATTTTGATGAGGACAGTTTAACTAACCTTTGCTCAATGTCATGTTTAAGAATCCTTTGCTGCCAGGCGGTGGTGGCGCATGCCTTTAATCCCAGCACTCAGAGGCAGAGCCAGGTGGATCTCTGTGAGTTTAAGGCCAGCCTGGTCTACAGGCACCAAAACTACATGGAGAAACCCTGTCTCGAAAAAAACAAAACAAAAAAACCTTTGCTTAAAAGGTGGACATGATGGTCTCCCTCTCTAAAATCAGCACGTGGGAGGCAGACAAGTGATCTCTGAATTTTAGGCCAGCCTGGTCTACAGAGAAAGTTCCAGGACAGCCAGAGCGACATAGAAAAATCCTGTCTCAAAAAACAAAATAAAAAAGAGAATTCTTATTATAGTTAGATGTTTTGCATTTACTTAATGATCCAATTAGAGTTGGCTTTGTATTTAGTTTAACATTTGGGTTGATTTATTTTCATTTGTGAATCATATGAACTGTTTAAATACTGTCTGTTGAAATGAAGAATGTTCATTCTGTATGGTTAAATCTTCCACATTAGAAAAGATTTCTTACAATTTCAGATGAAATAATTTTGTATTTAGTGTTTAGTTTGTTTTATGCTCATCTTTGGAAGAGTAAGGAGACAAAACCCCTTGTAGTTTTCCTCATTATAAAATGAAGGTGGCTAATGAAAAATTGGAGACTTTATGGTTTTTTTCTTAAAGCCTAGTCTTGGTACCTTTCTCTAAAGAACACAGTTTACTATGAAAACAAGAAGTCAATTTTAACAGTTAAATTTGTAGTAGACTAATAAAATGATAATTTTGACTGCTATCATATTTACATGAATTAATATTATCAAATTACATTATGGAATTAACTTCCATTATGAAATTTTAGTTTATACTAAATGTAGTATATTTACATTTATGTCTGGAATGACTAACCAGACTTGCAGTGAGACTAATGGTCTAGAAATCTTTGTGCAGATGAAATGACTTGATGCCAAATAATTAGTAAATGAAATACGTGTAACTTTTCAGAACATTTGTAGTGAATTCACATACAGGAGATGGATCTGTGGGTATACTATCTGCTGGTTTAGGACTTCTCTGTTTGCAGTTTCTCTTTTTCCTCTGTAGCTCTGTTTCCACCCAGTGGAGTGACTGTTGTCTTTGTCCTCCTTAACCTCCCATCTCCTGACCCACCGCACACTGGATGATAATGGAAGCCTTTTCTAACAGCCGTGCCTTGAATTCATAAAAAATAATTTAGATTTTTAAAAGCAACTGAGAGAATATTCCAGTGCTTCCAATTATTTTGGTGCAATTTTTAATTTTTTAATCCATATCAGCATATTAGTACCTTTTTTCATCTTCTATATAACTTAAAGTAGTATTTTGTTTCTAAAGAATATTAATTGCAAAGGGTTTTTTTTTTAAAGTGGAAATTCAGGGAATTCCTTTATTTTGTACAATTAAATGGTTTTTATTTACACTGATTCTGAGTTTGGCATTCCTGGTAGTCCAGTATTAAAATGACACATTGTAATATGCTGTCTTTATGGTCAAAAAAGACCAGGGTGAGTATAAATAGAATCTAATTATATGGTATCTGGTTTAAACTCAACTCAGAGTTTGACACACACACACACAAACACAGGACCCTGGTTTTTACATGAGATGTATGATAGTTATTTTTTACAAAACTGTAATTTTGTGGGCTCAAATTATTTTAAATTTGTAAGAAAGTTTTAGAAGAGATTCAGGGTTAGAAAAATTGGCAGACATTGCTTAATGAAGAGTTGTATGTTTTATTTATCCCATGGAAAATATTTGCATCATGCCCTTGTTCACCCTTAGAACAGGAGAGCTACAAATTGGGTACTGGTAGGTCTTCCCTTACCCCGGAAATCTGGTGGTGTGTCTTTTGAAATCTTAATAGCATTCCTGAAAATAATAAGGCATGCTTAGACTTTGTTGTTTTACTTTAAGAAGTCCGTAAGTGGTATTATTTTCAGGTTTACTATATCTCAGAACTTATTTCCAAAAGAAAATTAAAATGCTATTTAGGTGCCAGAGGTATTTGAAAAGATGTAAATCAACAAATTCCAATAAATAACTGTTTCACCCTGATACTTGTGTGATTAGATTTAGGAATTTGCTGTTTAGTAGGTTCCTATTGTGGCAGAGAAATCTTTCAGGCATGAATTGATAGGCCAGAGCCTTTGAGGTCTGTCTGTCCTGACCTGTGACCCCTATTCTTACAAGATCAACATCTGAGGGCAGGAGATTAAGGCAGTTTAAAGATTGGAATGGTAAATGGAATGGAAAAATTAGCCAGCACATTTTGGGCGCAGAGCATCAAAGTCATCACACAACTTGCTTATTTTAAACCTGGCTTAGGGCTGTAACAAGCTCACTTTACCATGTCTGTTGGATTCAGAAAAAAAGTTTAACTTTAGGGTACTGTTATATCATTAATACATTTTAATTGTATGATATAGATTACATTCATATAGCTTAACCCAAAATATCAGGAAATGCAAAATAATTTGTCTCAGTGTCATTACAT